TCTCCTGCCCGGGCTGGCTTTGAACCGCGATCCTCAGATCTCAGCCTCCTGAGTAGCTAGGATTACAGGCGTGAGCCACCAGCACCCGGCTACTTTAAAATTTTAATTAATTTACTTTATTGCTATTATAAAGGTGATGTACAAAGGTATTATAAGTACCTGAGTCAGGTAAAGAGTACATTTCCTTTTGTACAGTCTTCTGTTTCACTCACTGTCTCCCGAGTCTCTTAATTTTAGATATATATTTTTTTCTTTGTAGTCAATGGAAATCTTTCAGTCGAAATTAGAAGAAGCTGAAAAAATTGCATTCAAAAAAGAAGATTATAGACGGGAACGGTGGAGGAAACCAGCATATTTGGATGAAACACAAAATAGTAAGGAAAGTAGAAAGTCAGACTTAGTAAAATCTGGAAACAGTTCAAGAGATAGATACATTATAGCCGGGATTGGAAACAGAAACAATGAAGATAAGTTTCATGCTGATGAAAAAAGTAAGAGATCTGGGTCTTTAGAAACGTGTACGAGAGAATCCAACCCAAGGCAAAGTCAAGAGTTCTCTTTCAGAAATTCAAGGCCTAAATTCTTAAGACCCTGTGATGATGACCAACTGCAATTTCACTGCAAGGGCAGAAATTTTGAACCATCTGCTTCATCTTCAGCTAGTGCTCAGAGTTCTTTGCATCATGGTTTTCGAAAACCCATGGAGAGCAGTGATGAAAACAGTGAAAAACCGTCATGGCATCTTCCTGATGGGAGAGGAGACAAGAAACGTGTAGATCCAAAACCATTGGAAAGCAGGTGCAGCACTGGCTGCCAACACAGTCCAAGAGATGGGAGAGAAGAGTTACAGGTCCAGAGTGTGAAAGATGACCTATCACAAAGAGAACATTTACAGAACACAAAGTCTACTCTTGATGGGTATTTTATCATTCTTTTCCCCTTCATGAGTATTTTATCATTCTTTTCCCCTTCTCCCGACTCTTCTTTCCCTTCTACTGCTCTTCCTTGTTCTCCTCTCCCTCTTTACCTTCTTTCCTTCCACTTTTTTGATGGGATCTCACTTTGGTCTCCAACTCAAAATCCCCTGCCTCAGCCTCCTATCATATGTAAACTTTATTGTAGGATGGCTTATGTTTGATTGACATCTTGCTTAGTGGAGAATCTTGTGTAGGATTGTGCTATACATGAATTCTGTAAGAATAGGGAAATATGTAAAGAAATATCAGGGAAACCTCTTTATCTAGTTTATCTTCCATCAGTTCTTCATTTTTTCCAGCTGGCTGGTGTTGAGATAAAAAGTAGGTGAATTAGACATAATTTTGGTGGTAAGGAAACTTAGATATAGAAAATCAGATATATAAGTACTTAGAAAGTAAAGAAAGGCAGAAAATGTCAGAGGAAAAGCTACCAAGATATTTCTTACTTAGGAAACAGAAAGGTAACAGGCATACCCTGGAGCAGGCAGATTTCACGGAAGCATAATTGAACTCCTTCTCTTTAGAAGAAATATAAACTGTGGTTATCTATTTTTTATTAGGCACATGCTACAATTTTCCTAACATGCATGGGAATTCCTTCTAGTGAATGGGTAGAAACACTAAATTTTCAAAGAGAATTTTTGAAGAAATAATGCAAATTGAGAGGAGTTGTGTTGATTAGAAGGTAAAGGTTCATAAAAAAGTAAAATTTATAGAAAAAAGTTTATAGAAATGTATTTGAGTTGCCTGAAATTCAAATAAATTACATTTATCTTACAGTAAAAATAATATATGCCTTAGGATTTTAATTTGATAATACTACTGAAAAATAGCTACTATACAAAAAGTACAAGTAATGATAAAAGCAGTAACTCAACCCACAGAGGCATATTAAAAACTTGTAATGTTCTTATGATCACATAAATGTGGTGTCCCTACTGTTTGTTTTAATTGATTCTTAAAATAGAGACTAAAAGAACATGAGGGGAAGGAAAAGTACATTGTAGTTATGTTTTTACCTCAAATAGTGTCCTTTGTGTAAGCATCAGTCTTTGAGTTTTTGTTTCCTTTTTAAGTGAATATGAAGCTGTTAAAGGTTGTTACTGTTGCCACTGTTGCTGCTGCTGCAGTATTGGGTTTGAACTTCATGCCTTAAACTTGCTAGGCAGGTACTCTACTGCTGAGCCATGCCTCCAGCCCAGCATAGTTGATTTTTATATTTGCCTCATTGTCACTAAGAGTTTGGGGCATCATAGCTTCATAACAGATTTTCAGTTGAATATTGTTAGAATCATGATTCCCCTGTTGATGCCAAAGCTTTATTGAGGTACTTAAGGAAATGTTTGATCATTGATGTTGTTACTTGCACTGACTTTGTGTGTTCTTCCTCCCTCTCCTGTTCATGCCATAGTGGTGAGGGAGAGTCCATGCACATCCTGACTGTTGATGAGAAGAACAAGTTGGGGGCCAAGATTATCAAGGCAGAGATGATGGGGAATATGGTAAAATCTTATATGCTAATCTGTTGGAGAATAGTGGTTAAATATTTAATGTGTACAAGTGAATTTGGAAGTTCCTTAGCACTGTGAATATGGCATACATTACAAATAACTGTGACTGAAAGAAATTTCTAAACATTTCTAGAAACAGTACTATCTTTTTTTTTTTTTGATTTTTTTGTTTTTGTTTTTTTTGCTTATGTGGTGCTGAGGAATTGAACCCAGGACTTCATGCATGAGAGGCAAGCACTTTATCACTGAGCCAACTTCCCAGCCCATCAGTACTATCTTTTTTAAAAATGAGTTGTCTATTTTCTCTATCAGATTTCTGAAATTTATGTTCCAAGGGAACTTTGTGATTTTTACTTTTTAACTTTTCTGTATGCTTTACTATTATCACTTCTAACTTATGGAACAGAATATATTTGAAGGAGTTTAATATATATTACTGTTTTATTTTCCATTGTATTTTATTTATTTTTGTTTGGGTCTTAGGGCTTGAACTCAGGGTGCTGCCCATGAGCTTTTTTTTTTGCTGGTGCTCTACCACTTGAGGCACAGTTCCACTTCTAGGTTTTTGGTAGTTTATTGGAGATAAGAGTGTCCTGGGCTTTCCTGCCTGGGCTGGCTTTGAACTGCAGTCCTCAGATCTCAGCCTCCTGAGTAGCTAGGAATGCAGGCATGAGTTACCAGCTCCTGGACTCCCCATTTTAATCAGTTATTACAAGAATACTTATGTTTTCAAAAATGCTAGTTAAGAACCTAAAAAATGGGTCTGGGAAGGTGGCTCAATGGTAGAGTGCTTGCCTTGTATGCATGAGGCTCTGGGTTCGATTCCTCAGCACTACATAAACAGAAAAAACCGAAAAGTGGCGCTGTGGCTCAAGTGGTAGAGCACTAGCCTTGAGCTGAAAAGCTAAGGACAGCACCCAGGCCCAGAGTTCAAGCCCCATGACTGACCAAAAAACCCAAAAAGAACCTAAAAAATGAGCTCTTAAGAAGGTGATTAATTCATTTAGTCAAGGATTGAGGGAATGTGTGTTTGATATTGTGTTAGATCCTTTTATGGGTTAGCTCATTTAATTCTCACAGTAATGTTTAAGACCGAGTTCCCTTGAATGGAATAGAAACAGGGATGATTTGGTAAGAACTACTTCATTCATTAGTCCATTCATTGGTTCATTTACTCATTCATTCTCACATGCCTGTTGTACTAATTGATGTTAAGTTGCACTTGGCAGAATAGCAAAGCCAGATAGTGTTCTACGCCCTGGTACAGCACATTCACTTACGACATATGTATAGTCTCATGCCAAACTCAGATACAAATGGTCTTTAAGTAGTTTCATGTTGGGTATATTATCAGCATATTACTCTTTCTTAGGAAAAAAGCAGCTATATACACTCTTTCTGTTTTTATTATATTGTATATTTACTTATATATTTATTATATATAAATATATATTATATATTACTCATAAATTTATTATATTGTATATTATATTGTATATTTAGTGAACAGCATATCTTGCATATACTGATCTCTCCCTTTGAATATAGTTCTTGATGACATTGGATTAAACTTGGCCCAGAAGGTAGTATTATAAGCTAACAACATAAATAAAACATGGAAATAAAGTTTGAGTTATGTAAACACTGAAGGATTAATTAAAATACTGAGAGAAAGGTTACCTTATAGAAGGCTACCATGCTAAAAAAAATGCATTTCTTTGTTCATGTAATGGTTACAGTGAAATGTAAAACTTGAGATTTATACTTTATGGTTTGTTGCTTTATATGTTAGTGTGTTACATAAATTTCTAGGCTAAAAATGGAATACATTCGGAATTTTTAAGTTATATATCAACAGTGAGGAAGAGCATATTTTAGTTTTTAGGATGGTTCCCTGGTAGCTGCAATAAGTTCATTAAAATGTAATGCACTAGGCTGTGAGTTGGTAGTTGAAGTTAGTTTATAGCAGTATGAAATCTTAGTATGCTGTTTTCCTTTCTGCTGTAGATATTTGAAATACTGTGTAATTAAGAATTTAAAGACATGTCATACTCATTTTTGCTTATTTTTCTTTTTGGAGGAATTAGCTGAAAGACTTAAAGCCCAACTTGAAAAGGCAAATAAGTTCAAAGAACCTGTAACGCAGATGTCATCAAAAAAACCAGGGTCGGAGGTGAGTAATAGAACTTACTGTTTGTGTAGGTACATGATTGCCTGTGTAATCAGTCACCTGTGTAATATTATTTTGCAGCTGCCATATTTTAATATGAGATGTGTCTGCATGCATCTCTGTGTTTCTATGTATGCTTTGCTTGTATCTTCTTAGATTTCACTGAGTTTTCTAATAGAAGCCTAGGTTGGGGGCCAAGAAGACCTGCATTTATTCTAGACTCTGTTACTGTATGTGATGGAAGTTCATACAGCCCTTCAGTTCTTTTCCTAAAGACTTAAGAGACTTGAGTTAGGTATCAATTTAATAAGGGACAAATAGTTTCATTCTGTGATTCATTCATCTATTTATTACTGACCAAAACAGTTTAAAATACTTGCCTACATGAAATGTCCATTTTAATAGAGTTAGAGACAAGGAAATAATAAGATTATAGCTAAATAAACTGCATGGCATAGTAGAAAGTTTTAATCCTATGATGGGGTAGGGATTTGAGTGCATAGGCTGATCCTCACTCAGCAAGGGACAGTGATGCAGAGACCTGCAGTGAGCCAATTATAGCCTCTTTGTCTGAACCAAGAGTGCTCGAGGCATAGGGAGCAGAGAATTTAAAGGCCCAGAGATGGGAACGTGTCTGATGTATAGGAAGAATAGCAAGGAAACCAGCAATACTGCAGTGGAGTCATTGAGAAAGAAAGTAGACTTTTATTCTGACCTAGATGAGAAGCTATTATATGAGGTAATGAACATAAAATATGTTTTTCTGGACAGGTCTACCATTTGATTCCTGTTACTAATTCTTTTTTGATTTAGTTATTATTTAGGTAGAATCTTGTGTTTTTGCCTGAGGCTGGCCATAGACTGCCCCAGGACTGGCACAAAAAATTAAAATACAATATAAATAAACTATAGAAAATTGAAATAAAGAACATATGCACTAAGTTCAATAGTATGTGTGTGTTAATGGGTTTTGAAAACTCAGATCCTTGTTCTTGTGAGGCAAGTATACCTTTGAGTCATGGGTTCAGCTAGCCATCAGGTTTTTTTTTTATTGGTGGGGGTGGGGTCAGTCATGGGGCTTGAATTCTGAGCCTGGGCTCTGTCCCTCAGCTCTTCAGCCCAATGCACTCTGCCACTTGAGCTTCAGGGACACTTCTGGTTTTCTGGTGGTTTATTAGAGATAAGAGTCTCACAGACTTTCCTGCCCTGGCTGGCTTTGAACTGCAATCTTCAGATCTCAGCCTCCTGAGTAGCTGGGATTATAGGCATGAGCCACTGTTGCCTGGCAGCCATCATGTTTTTATTGAGATTGAATTAACATACGATCACTCTGTTGACTGTTAAAAAAGTTTATCAATATTCAGTTTCTTTATTTACCTCATCTTGGATTTGTATCAAATATTTCATGGCTGGTATAGTTCTGACTCACACTGTTCTGTGGGCCATACTTCTGGCCATACTTCTCATTGTGGTGATCTAGGAGATCCCTAGGGTTTACAGGTTTTTAAGCAAAGAATAGCATGATTATGCTGTGTTGATACATTGAAGTTGTAGAATGACAATTTACACAGGGAGTAAATCCCATACGAGGCTGTAAACTTGAAGGCAGAGGCTTTATTTATTTAGGCACATTAAAGAAGAAATATAGTTTTTCATATAATGCCTGGTAGACTGCTGCTACTCTACCGTGTCTTAGTGTCTAGAGGAAAGCCCAAAGTTTGCTTTTGTGATTGTACTTTTTAAAATATTAAACATTGTGTATTTTTCTCACTTTTTCTAAAGAGATTATAGTAATTTTATAGTATAGTAGTAGAAGTAGTCCACAGTATTATGAAAACTAGAATCTTTCTCAGGCTCTTTTGCTATTAAATAGAAGCATTCAGCAATTTCCACGGTTATTTCAAGTTATCTCTAATCATCTTATAGAATGAAGAGCAGCAAGAAGTGATTCTGGTCAGAAGCAATGAGTCTGGGAGTGTATGGCCTGTGGGCACACCAGGAGGGCCGCTGCCAGCCAGAGCAGGAGAAGGGAAGAAACAGAAGGTATGTGTCACATGTCCTTGCTTATTAGGCTTCCTTTTCCCTTAGGTAGAATTCCTTTTTTCTCTTTGGGTTTTTTGTTTAGTTTTGCTTTTTACTTTTTTTTTTGTCGGTTGTGGGGCTTGAACTCTGGGCCTGGACACTGTCCCTCAGCTCTTCAGCTCAAGGTGAGCGCTTTACTGCTTCAGCTACAGCACCACTTCTGGTTTTCTAGTGGTTTATTGGAGATAGGAGTCTCAAGGTCTTTCCTGCCAGGGGTGGCTTTGAACTGCGATCCTCAGATCTCAGCCTCCTGAGTAGCTAATATTACAGGCGTGAGCCACCAGCACCCAGCTATGCTTTTTAACTTTTTATTAAAATATTTGTCCTAGGTTTGTGTTCTGGAGTTTGCACTCGGGGGGAAGAGGGGGGAGTCTATCATTTGAGCCACAATCTTTTTTTTTTTATTTTTTCGGTCGTGGGGCTTAACTCTGGGCCTGGGCGCTGTCCCTCAGCTCTTCAGCTCAAGGCGAGCGCTCTACTACTTGAGCTACAGCGCCACTTCCGGTTTTCTGGTGGTTTATTGGAGATAGGAGTCTCACGGTCTCTCCTGCCCGGGCTGGCTTTGAACCGCGATCCTCAGATCTCAGCCTCCTGAGTAGCTAGGATTACAGGCGTGAGCCACCAGCGCCCGGCTATTGAGCCACAATCTTAGGCCTCAAACCTTAGACTACAAAATATTTCCTTGATTGTAGCTTCCTAATATAAACATTAGACAATAGTAAATTAGGTTATTACTTTTATTCTAAATTATTCTTTGCCTTTTACAAAATGTATTTTCCCCCCAAAATTATAACATTAAGTGTTTAGTGTGTATTTCTTTGGTGTTGAATTTAGTTTCTTACTGCATGCTTACCCCATGTCTCTTATGAAAAACCTTGTTCTTCTAGACCCGTTGCCTGGGCTAGACAGCTACTTTGAGACCTGGTGACGGGGTATCCATTCACAGTGAAGTCCTAATTGTGTAGGTGCTGTGAGCCAGCGTGCACCTAATTTACTTTCCCATCTCCTTGCTCCACCAATTAGTTTCTAGCACTGCCTTGAGGCTTTTGAGCTGAAAACAACAAAGCAATATTGAATTTTCCTATGTTAAGTTTTTGTTTTAAATTTGAAGATCATGCAGATGATAATTGAGTACACCAAAAATCATTTGTTCAAGCCGGGCGCCGGTGGCTCACACCTGTAAATCCTAGCTACTCAGGAGGCTGAGATCTGAGGATCTCGGTTCTAAGCTAGCCCAGGCAGGAAGGTCTGTGAGACTCTTATCTCCAATAAACCACCAGAAAACCAGAAGTGGCACTGTAGCTCAAATGGTAGAGCCCTCGCCTTGAGCTGAAGAGCGCAGGGACAGTGCCCAGGCCCAGAGTTCAAGCCCCACGACTGACCAAAAAAAAAAAAAAAAGAAACATTTGTTCAGATTTTTTTCTGCCACGTGCTTGTTGCTTGCACTTTGAGTGCTTCTGCTGTTAGAGATACTGATGAATTCTTTCCAAAATGGAAATGGAATAGATCCCTCTTCTCATGTCATGGGAGGAACTAGGGCCTGGAAAGGATGTGTAAAAGATTAGTAAAGGTTTGAGTATGTGAAGTGACAGAGTTAACAAGGAATCCTTAACTCACTACCATGTGGCACTGAGAGCCCTTTTAAGTTGCATACTGCTGTGCAGTCTAGGTATAGAAGTGAAGAGTGCACACATGTTGATTTAGGACTGGGATATGCTGTTGGAGTCTAAACAAAAGGCAAAAAGACCACAAGGATTTGGAGGCAGAAAGGGATTGAAATAATGGCATTTGAGGTTTAGTGAAGAAAAGGATAGCAGTGTTGGGAAAATAATGATTACGGAGATCTCCAAAAAGTGGAGGCGGGGGGAGGGGGGAGACAGATTTTATTTAGGGAATTTTGTCATAGAAAGGAATAAATACCACTTTTCTGTTCCTTATTTGTATGTGCAACTGACAGAATAAAACTCAGAACCAACTTCAGTGGGGATCAGGAGACCAGCTTAACTTTTGGTAAAGCTGTTAATAGAACCAGGGTTAACTGTTAGAAGTAGTGTCTCATCATTTCTGGTCACTGTATCAGAATAACTCAGACAGGTAGTTTAGCATAAATTTATTCCTAATGGTTCTGGAGACTGGGTGCTGTCAGGATCATGTCTGGTGGGAAATTTGTTCCCTGTAGTTCTGGAGAGTGGGTGCTGTCAGGATCATGTCTGGTAGGCAGGCTTCCTGGTTTGCAGGTGGTGGTTTTCTCATTTTATCCTCACAGCATGGAACAAAGAAAGAAGAATCCCTGTCTTGTCTTTGTAGAAGTACTAATTTATTCATGATGCTCTACCTTCATTACTTCCCCAAAGACCCTCATCATACTGGGATCTCAGCTTATAAATGGGGAGAATTAAATAATCACTGCTTTAGAACAATGATTTTGATATTTCACCTCTGTTTTTTGGTGTACTTTTCATGTCTGGATACCTGCAGCATTCCTTCCACAGTAGCAAGGGATTTGAAATACAAGAAGAAGAGCAGAGCAAAGAAGGGATGGAATAGTTTTGTTTCATCCAAACTTAGAGATCAGATGGTATGGTGCTTCTATCCTGGGAAAGAGAAGAGTACAGGGGAGATGTAATAAGTGTAATATTTTTACACTTTGAATGGAAATCTTGCACATAGAAAGAAGCAACTAAAATAGGATAAACTGTAGGGCATGGTAAGATTTTTACATTTATTAGACATAGGTAATCGATCAAAAAGACTAATTTAGAGACTTAAATTTTCACTGAATGAATTACGTTTGTTTTGTCCTAGGTTTCAACCCATGAGGGAAAAGAAAGAGTCAGATACTTTCATGATGATGATCACTTAAGTCTAAATGATTTAGTTAGAAATGAAAAGATGGGGACAGCAGAGAATCAGAACAAACTCTTTATGAGAATGGCATCTAAGGTAAGAGGTATTCCTCACCTCACATCTAACCATTATCTGCTTTTCAGGGAGATCTGATTCTCTTGATCCTTGGTTTATTTCATTAAATTTTTTTTTTGTAAGACATACTTGTAGCATATTAAAACAAAATGCACTTGAGATTCTATTTGTTTTTAAATATAAACTCTGGATTACTTAGTTTGGGATCAGATTTTTTTCTTACTTATTTTTTAAAATTTGAGTCAGAGTCTTACTCTGTTGACCAGAGTATTTTTGGAACTCAAAATTCTCCTGTTCCTGCCTCTGAAATATCTGGGGTTCCAGGCATGCCTCATGCCTAGCACAGAGGCGGAATTAAATGGTTGGCTTTGGGCTGCTTATTAATAGTATTGTATTAACATTCTGATAGGGTACTCTCTTTATCCAAATTGTTTTCTTTGTATTAGAGTACGTAGTCCCTTGGTTGTTGCAGCTAAGGGAAATGCAGAAAGAGCCAGCCTTTTCTCCTGTAGCCAAGTGTGTTAATTTTTTCATGATGTTTGGGGGAATGGGATGAAGGTTGATTTGTATATGATAACAGAAGGAAAGCAGTTCATCATAAAGAAGACCACGTGGTGTATTAAATGCACAAAGCCATATCAACATTACCTATTTGCAGTAGAACCAGTGGGGGTGCAGTAGCTATGGAAGTGTTGATTTGGCATTGTGATTTTTTTAGTTCTTCCTGCTTAATATTAACCACAGCATATTAGACATTTTTCTTGTACCTTGCTTAAGGTATAACAATGATTAAAATTAGCTCTGGTAAAAATTTAAAGTACTACTGAAAGCATGTAAAAATAAAAATACCTGGAATATGAGCCTTTTCTATAAATATTGTGTTTAATATCTTCACTCTTTAAAATTTCATGGACTAATTAGCTGAGTTACTTCATTAAAAATTAACATCATTGGCAGGTAGTTTAAGTAATTCCTTTAAGATACCACATAAGCTCTTTACTCTGTGTTTCTTTCTATTAAGAAACAGTTGCAAAGCATTAGTCTACAATTTTTTCTGTAACATGTCAGGTGATAAATATTTTTGGCTTGCTGAACTCACAGCTTTGCTGTTATGGAAAAAAGCAGCCATATATAGTGTGATTATATTCTAGCTATTTACAAAACTGTGGCTGGCTTGCTTTGGCCTGTGAGCCATCATTTATTAACTTTTAGATTTAGGATATGTAAATGATAACTACCTTCAGAGCACCTGTCTCTGAACTTGGGTACTTCTGTTATGTATTGATCCTTTGTGGATGGATCTAGGCTTGCAAAAAAGTAGCCAGTCAGGAGTAGCTGGCATAGGATATTGATCTCATTCATTGTGTAAGATGCTCTGCAGGAGGTATACTGGTACACAGAGAGGACAGGATTCTTGATTAGAGAACTTAGAGGCTAGGAAGGAAAAATGAAACATCAAATAATTATGAACATGAATTTAGTAGTAAGGATGTATGAACTATTGAGAATGACAAGGGAAAAGTCTTTGGAAGCATCAGGAGGGTGCCTTAAATTAAACTGGGGAGCTGTGAAAAGTTTCATGTTGGATGCCATGACTGCTTCTAGGTCAGTATTCAAATTACTGAGCTGTATTTGACACATATTTTACTTTTTTATTTCTATCCTATAATGAGTCATTTTATTTTTACTTTCCACCTTTTTCTTGCTTTCCTAAAATTCAGATTATATTCAGGTTAATTCAGATTAAATTCACTTTCTTTTTGGCTATATTTTACCATTAGACCTTAAATGACAGTTCCTCATTATAACCAAGGAAGAAAGGCATCTTGTGTCAAATTGCAACTTTGTTTGGTTAGGAGGATTGTGGTGATTGTTTTTTAAAAAAACTTTTTCTATATAAATATTCACTATGTAACTACTGAAAAAGGAATACTAAGAAATATGCAGGAAAAGAAGGGTATATTTGCCTGTTTTCTTACTGTACATATGACAGTGTATTTATTGTGATTTTTGTAAAATATAGGCATATTATCTCCCTTTGAAATCATAGAACAAGGAATTTGGGGTTTAGGGAAAGGGTCTTATAATCTTAATTAACCTTCCACGTGTCAAACGAGGAACCTGAGAATGTAGGAGAACTAACTGCTTCTACGGGATGTTCCGGTTCCCACAGCTACTGAGCTGGAAAAGGCAGTAGCAGAATCCTTACCTTGTAACTCCCATGCCAGCACTTCTCCTGGCGCAGTCCTGCCTTTCAAATAACTCATGTTAATTGACAGTCCTTAAGTGCTGCCTAGATCTAATTGTCTTTATCCAACTTCCATTTGTCAGTTGTTGGTATCTAAGAGCAGTGAGTTGTGGATGCTTTGCTCTTTCTTAAAATATGTTGTATTGGCTCCAACGTTTTTAAAATATAAGCTCTTCCATTTAAGATTTCAGACGTCAGTGTTTCCTTAGCAACGTAAACTCAGGCACATCTTCTTGCAATCTATATACATCTTTCCTCATTACTTTTGTTCACACTGTGGGCAATAATTTTTTCTCTATCATTGAGCATTAAAATGGGTTGGAGGAGAGGAGGCTGGAAAGTATAAGAAGAGGGGTAAAGGAGAGGAAAATCTTTTTTTTTTTTGGATCTGGTTGTGGGGCCTGAACTCTGGGCCTGGGCGCTGTCCCTCAGCTCTTCAGCTCAAAGCTAGCGCTCTACCACTTGCCACAGTGCCACTTCCGGCTTTTTTCTTTTTGCTTATGTGGTGCTGAGGAATTGAACCTAGGGCCTCAGGCATTCAAGGCAAGCGCTCTACCTCTGAGCCACCTTCCCAGCCCTGAGGAAAATCTCTTGTAACTAGGGTTTTACCATAAATTCCAAGAAAGCAAGATGATTTATCACCTAATAATAGACATTTGTATTTCTGTTGACAAATTTTTCTTTCTTTTTTTTTTTTTGGGTCCAGTCATGGGGCCTGAACTCTGGGCCTGGGCGCTGTCCCTCAGCTCTTCAGCTCAAGGCTAGCGCTGTACGACAAATTTTTCTTTCACTTTTTGTAAACTTAGACTTAATATATTTTAAATCTTATTATATTTTCTGATGGAAGTTATCTTTAAAAATCTGCATTTTATATTTCTGTAATGTACACTGAAAGTGACATGCTTTGCTCTTTTTTCAGGAAACTGTAACGATAACAAATCTTGAGAGATTAACTGCCATATTGTTCTTAAAGGTTTGGCTAGAATCAGATAAGGCATGCTGATGCCATGTTCAAGGGAGCTATGAAGGAAGTCATAGCTCAGATCATGGACTGGGAATTCTGGCTTGGAGGTGCTTTAAGAGTTCATAATCTGAGTGAACCCTGAGGCCCTGGAGGTGGGGGTTGGCCGTTTAGCCATCTTCTAAGAAATGCCCTTTTTTGACTTAATAAGTAAGGGAAGGGGATATGGGATCTCACCATATCTTACAGAGACAGTTTGGGTTTCCAGCTAAGGATCTTAATACAGTGAATTGAAATCTTCTCATTGGTTTGCTTTCTAGATCCATTGCCTTTAATTTTTCTAAGAACTGTAAATTCTGGCTGTTTTTCATATTCTGAGGGCCCCTGGATAGGAAGACAAAGCTTGATTTCAGAGCAGACATAGACCAAGAAATCATGGCATTGAGTGTGTTCAGTCCAGACAAATGATATTTACATACACATACAAATTTGAAGAGAAAAATGTATTTCTTTAGGTTTCAAACACTGTAATAGATATAAAGAAAAAACAAAGACCTGTTGTTCAAAAAAAAAAGAGAAGGCATGTTGAAACTGACATCTTGCCACCTTCTTTGGTCATTTCAGTTCCTAGGGTGACTTTTCTCATTCTCAGACAGGTATAGATATGGGGTAAAATTCAACATGAACGAGGCTGATTCGAGATTGTGAAATCATGTATATGTTCCTGTGACATCCCTTGGAGGACATTTGAAACTTGGGTGTCCTAAAATGGAAGAAGTGGTATTTTCCTTTTGTATAGAACTGAAAAGGATGTGGGTATGAATGTAGTCCAAGCCGCTTTACAAAACAGTGGAAACATTCAAACTGCCTAAGACCTTGGTTGACTTTTGATGATTAAACCTAACTTAAAGTCATCATTTCCTTCTTTTAATGCAAGAATTTTTTTCACAAAACTTACAGATTCAGGATGACCTTGTATAAGAAACTCTGAACCACTATCTTCTAACTCCCTGTTACTGTTATTTTTGATCTTCAGTTCATGGGGAAAACAGATGGAGACTCTTACACTCTGGATGACATGTTTGTCTCCAAAGCAGCAGAGAGGGGACGGCTTGGTGAAGAGGAGAACCAGAGGAGAAAAGCGATTGCTGAGCACCAGAGTCTCACGGCACGAATGGAAAACTGTCTGTACTGCTGTGATAGCTCTCAGTTTCCCAAACACCTCATTGTTGCAATAGGGACTAAGGTAGGTGATCCAACAATGATGCGCCGAGGACCGGCCTGTAGCACGTGCATTTGCCCTCTTCATTGTGTGTGCTTAAGATTCCTGAAGTGTGTTTTACTTTATTCTTTGTTTCAAATAGTTTTTTTTCCCCTAAATAACCCTAATTCTTAGAATCTCTTAAAGCAAGTATAAATATTTACATGACATGACATACAGCCTTCTTTGTCATTTATTCTTGTTTTTCTTTTTCTTTTTTGGTCAGAAGGGGAGATCTTAAGCATTATCTGAAGCATGGCAATGAAAATTGCGACTTTTCACTCTAAATTTCCAGCTTACTAGCCATTTTCATTGTTCCATTTTTAAATATAAAAGAAATGCCTTTTTCTTTCTCTTTGTCTCTTTGGTGGTACTAGAGTGTTTGAACTCAGGGCCTTGTGCTTGCTTAGACAAGTACTCTGCCTCTTGAGTCATGCCTCCAACTCTTCGTTTTTGTCTTTAAGAATAATTTACCCCCAGGGCTGTCCTGGACCAAGTTCACCTACCTTTGGCTTCAGGGACTCTGATGTGTACTGTCGTACCCAGCTTATTGTCATGGGATCTTGGCAACTTTTTTTGTTGGGATGGCCTCTAACTTCAGTCCTTCTAATCTCTGCCTTCAGAGCAGCTGACATTTGTAAGGTTGTTAAATAGGTAGGTTTCATTAGATAGCCGATGAAGAGAACACTTATGCAGCATTCAGACTGGAAAAGGAGTTTATTTACTGACCTGCTGTGGGCGTGTCCCCCCACCTGGTGGAGCCTGGCCAGGACTTACCTAGGCCAGCAAAGGGAAGAGGTGTGGCCAGGTGGGGAAAAGGTATAACCATACTGGATCTGGATGTGACCTCAGGGCCTGGGACCAGGGAGGCCCAGGATGTGATCTAGCAGGAGGGGGTGGAGACTGCTTTGAGGGTTGCCAGTTACCTAGGTAACACAGATACTGGGTGGAAACTCGCCAAGAGGTAGGGAGGTATCTGCGTAGGGCCTGCATGGCTGGGGCAGACCTTACAGATTATATGAGAGAGCCATTAAAGAACAATACCTTTAAAAATGTTAAAATAATGCATGTTGATGATAATCCTAGCTACTCAGGAGGCTGTGATTAGAGGATCTCAGTTCAGAGCCAACCTAGGCAAGAAAGTCTGTGAGACTCTTACCTCTAATTAACCACCAAAGGCTGGAAATGGAGTATTTGCTCACATGGTAGAGCAAAAAAGCTAAGAGACAGCTCTAAGGCCCTGAGTTCAATGCCAAGATGGGGGGGAAAAATATATATATATATATATATAATTTCTTATAACCAAATGTACTTTTTTCATCTCATAGGCACCTCCCTTATGACTAGAATGAATAATGAATTTTTGGAACTTTTTCCCCCTAGGTTTACTTATGTTTGCCGAATTTCCGATCCCTTACGGAGGGGCACTGCCTCGTGGTCCCTTTGCAGCACCACCGGGCTGCTACCTTATTGGATGAAGACATTTGGGAAGAAATTCAGGTCAGCAAGGTCATTTCCTTATCATGGTAAACCTTTTGAGCAGTGTTGAAACTACTGTGCAGAATTCCAACAGGTTTTTTTCAATATTTTTTCTGTCAGTTTAAACATGAATCATATCATAGGTTTGTATGGTCGTGTTTCTCCTATGCAGCCACCTTTTAGTTTTATTTCCCCTATTCTTGGAAACATCTGTTTACTAAATAAACTATAACAAAGTAATGATTAATTTTAAAAAATCCGTCAAGATTGCTAATCAATGTTTTGTGTCTCATGAAATAACCATGCTTAGTAAGTCAGTCAGAATGAAAGGCATTTCAAGAGATGAAAAGAACTGTGAGAATGAGTGCTTCCTTGGCAGCAGCTGCCATGTTCCTGGTGTGGGATTGGCCTCCTGTGCTGAGGCCATTCTGTTACCCGCTTTCATTCTGCTCCTTTTAACCCGGCCCAGCTTGTGGAGTCAAGATCTGTTTCTATGGTTGATTCTTTGTGAGACTGAAGGATACAACATGGATGGAATTACTGCTGAATTCCAGTGTGTGTGACAGCTCAGGACCTCAGAATGACCAAGCAAGAACATCAACTCCTGTTTTTTAATATTGGACAACTCAGTTGAGATTACAGGCATCCCTAGTTAGGAAAATGTGAAAATTATAAGATTAAAAAAGAGACTTTGATGTATGCTATTATCTTCAGAATGCTGATAAACATGCCAGGAAAGGACATGTTTTGACTGCATTTTATGAACTTTTCATCTCTTGTCCTTTGGGAGTTTATAAGGTGAAAGCTTAAAAGATTATTTTATTGTATCCATATCCAAGTTGGAGTAAGAATGAAGATATTTTCAATGTGAAATTTTTTTCCCCCTCAGAATGGGTACTAGTATAGGTAATGTAAGGTAAAGCGTATGGAGAGATTTGGTTTTTAGAATTATTTTAGAACTTTTTTGGGATGTAGTTAAATTTTTTTTCATTTAACTTGGAATAAAAGACATTGCTAAAGTGTTTAAATACTTACAAAAATCTAGTGTTTGTTTTATGTAACTGTAAGAAACTAAGATGTATAATAAAAGCCATTGAAATGGATAAAGAAATTTATTCAGCTCAACAGATCATAAGTACATGAATCATTAGTTCTGCCCAAATATATTGAGCATAGTAGTGCAGGCTACATTGCAGGTCAGCTGACCGTGTCAGCCAGGTGCATTGTGGGAAGTTAGGTGAGGGAAGAAAAGCCAAACTTTTTTATGTGAGTAATGGCATTGTAGCTCTTTGTTTTCTAGAAGAAAAACTAGTATTAGAAATGATAAATTACTCTAGCCTAGTAAACTAATGAAATTCCTGAATGCTAGTGCAGTTAAGGAAATATAATTTATTTGGCTTTTGTTTTTACTCTCAAATATTTATGAAAATGCAAATTAAATTATTCTTTGTGAATGTCCTTATAGTTACTTGCCAGTGTATTGGACATATCTGTAGTTTTTAAAAATTTTATTATTTAATATATTAAAAGTGGTTTGACTTAACACAAAATGTTTGAAAACACAGGAACCTTTTTTTTTTTTGGTCGGTCGTGGGGCTTGAACTCTGGGCCTGGGTGCTGCCCTCAGCACTTCAGCTCAAGGCAAGCACCCTATACCACCTGAGCCACAGCACCACTTCCAGTTTTCTGGTGGTTAATTGGAGATAAGAGACTCATGGACTTTCCTGCCTGGATTGGCTTTGAACCGCCATGATGCTTAGATCTCAGCCTCCTGAGTAGCTAGGATTACAGGTGTGAGCCACCAGTGCCTTGCTGTAGGAACCATTTTTTCAAGTTTTTTTTTAAATAACAGTTTTCTATAAATATCCTATATTTATAGAATATTTTCTATATATATATATTTCTATATATATTCTATAAATAAATAAAAAAACAGTTTCTATAAATATTAATATTGAATCTTAGACCTACTTACTAGAAAATACAAAGATAATTTCCAGCAAAGCATCCTTGGTTAGTCATAAATTTCAGGTGAGTTAGATCCAAATTGCTAGTTTTATCAAATATATAATGGTATATGCCCTCTTTTAAATTTATTCTTACCACTTTGAAAGATATGCTTGAGCTTGTACTGTAGTAAGACTGTATATCCCCTTTTTAAATAACCAGATACCTTTGTTCAAGTAGGTTTTTGCAGTTTAATAGATTATTTCATTGTCATTTTTAGATAACAGTATTTATACATATTCTATGTTAAAAACTTGAATAAAGTATAGCATTAATATATAATTAGTCTTAGTGTTAATATTTTTAAGGAAAATATTTAAATTAATTATAGCATATAGTTAGCCTTCTATAGTTTGATAATTTAAAGAAAATTAATTTTAATTTTAAAATTCATAAAATTATACATATGCAGTTGATTCTTTAAATAATGTGCCTTTATTGCAAATTGTAGACTGATGCATTCTACTGGCTAGACTGAGGAATTGTGGTTCAAATGCATTAATTAAATGGAGAATGGGCAATTAGATGAGAAATGACAGTTTAGGTATGTGGAAAATAAGGGTTACCCCCAGAATGAAGTGTATTCTACTAGGGATATCGGAACATCATGCGATCCCCATTATTTTCGTGTTTACAGCTTTCTGACATAAAAATAGCTTTGGTATGCCTTATGATAGTGAACTACAAAAAATTTCCTCATTATCTAATTGTTAAATAACCTAAAATATTAGTAAAATATGTATATTGGATTTATATGTTCAGCTTGAAGAAACTTGTTAAACTGATAATTTTAACATCTTTCTCAGACATCATAGAGATGTGCTTAAATTTATGTGCTTTGGTTTTTCCCTTTTAGATGTTTAGGAAATCCCTTGTAAAGATGTTTGAAGGTATGGGATTGGACTGCATTTTTTTAGAAACGAATATGAGCATGAAGAAGCAGCATCACATGGTTTATGAGTGTATTCCTCTCCCGAAGGAAGTGGGTGAGATGGCCCCTATCTATTTTAAGGTACACCTGAGTGCAGGCTTGTCACACATACTCACCTTCTTTGCTACAGTACTGTTTTATGGATACAGTTATCTCTAGTCATGTATTTTTCTCCATTACATAGCAAATTTTATATTATATTAAAGAAATAAGGTCAAGTACAAAACAATCTGCAAATAAGTTTTCTGTTAACAGAAATTTGGACTTTAATTTTTTTATTAGTGTATATTGTACCAAGAATAGTGTTTCATTATGACATTTCAGTGCATGTGTCTAATGTGCTTTGGTCATACACTGTCTTACCACTCTTCCTCATTGCTCAACCCTTTCTTCCCCTTCTACATCCCTACTGGTTCCCTGTTTCTTTCATGTTCTCAGATTATACATATGAGAGAAAACGTGTGATACTAGTCTTTGTGGGACAGCTGTCTTATTTCACTTAACATGGTGATCTTTACTTTCTATTCCCTGCAAGTTACCTAGTTTTATTTTTCTATGGCTGACTAATACCCTTCCATTCATCTATTGATGGACATCTGGGCCTATTCCATAGTTTGGCAGTTGTGAATAATACACGATAAATGTGGTACATAGTATCTCTATACTCAATTCTTCTGGTATATACCCAGAAGTTGGGTATATTTTGATTATTTTTTTGTGAGGCGTGTGTGTGTGTGTGTGTGTGTGTGTGTGTGTGTGTGTGTGTGTGAGTGTCTGTCTGTCTGACTGTCTCCAGGGACTGAACTCAAGACCTCATACTTCCTAGCAGGCACTCTCTTCTTAAGCTATGCTTTCAGCCTTTTTTTGCACTAGTTATTATTTTTGTAATACTGGTCTTGGGTCTTCAACTGAGTGCTGTCTCTGAGCTTCCCCCCCCCCCCCCCCCCCCCAAGGCTGTGTTCTACTATTTGAGCTATACTCCACTTCTGGCTTTTAGTGGTTAATTAGAGATGAGTCTCACAGGCTTTCCTACCCAGGCTGGCTTTGAACTGTGTTCCTCATATCTCCTAAGGAGATAGGATTACAAGCATGAGCCACTGGTGCCTGGCTTGCTCTGGCTATTTATTTTATTTTATTTTCCATTAGTACTTGGGCTTGAACTCTGGGCGGGGAGCTGTCCCTGAGCTTCTTTTGCTCAAGGCAAGTACTCTACCACTTGAGCCACAGCACCACCACTTCCGGCTACTTTTTAGTAGTTTATAGGAGATGTGAGTCTAACAGAATTTCCTGCCTGGGCTGGCTTTGAACCATGATCCTCAGATCTCAGCCTCCTGAGTAGCTGGGATTATAGGCATAAGCCATTGGAGCCCTGTGTACTGGTTATTTTTGAAAGAAGCTTTTACTTGCTGGCTGGGCGCACACATGGACCGTGATTTGCCTATTTTATGCTCCCTACATCTGTGGGATAACAGGAGCATGCCCACCTTCTTTGGAGATGGAGTCTCACAGATTTTTCTGCCTGGACTGGCCTAGAACTGGCCTAGAACTTTGATTCTTTTCATCTCAGCTTCTCATGTATCTGGGATAACATGTGCACATATCTGTATCCTGTGGGTTTTTGGCTAGCGCTGTGATCTTCCTGATATCAGCTTCCCAAGTACCTAAAGTTAGTGTGAGCCACTCACACCCACTATATTTTTAATGTTTTTGAGGCACCTCTACACTGGTTTCTATAATGACTGGCAATTACATTTTTCCATCAGCAGTGAATTAAGGATTCCTTTTCCTCCTGCAGTCTCCTAATATTTTTCTTTTTCCCTGATGATAGCCATTCTGAAGGAGTGAGATGGAATTTTGTTTTGTGATTCTTTGGTGGCTTCAGTTATTCATTGGCCATTTGTATCTCTTCATTTGAAAAGTGTTTGCTGAATTCAGTTGCCCACTTGGATTATTTACCCTTTTTGTTTTTTTTGTTTTTTTTTTTTGAGTACTTTCTTTATTCTAGTCATTGGCCAATGCCAGATGAATATTTGGCAAAGACTTTTCTCTCATTCTCTAGTATGTCTCTACTCTTTGGATTACTTCTTTGGCTGCAGATAAACTTTTAATTCAAAGCAATCATCATTGATTAATTTTTGCCCTTACTCTGAATCGTATTCAGAAAGTTCTTGCCTGTGCCTGGATCTTTATGTATTGACCCTGTGTTTTCTTCCAATGCTGTCAGAGTTTCAGGTCTCAAATTAAGGTCTTAGATTCATTTTGAGTTTTTTGTTTTTTGTTTTTTTAGAGGATTAATGGGATCTTGACTGCTCAGTTTTTAAAAACATGCTTGCTTAGACATATAAATATTCTATGAAACAGTAACTTTTAATTACTATTTTAATTTCTCATTTCTCTAGTGAAATTAGTGTTTTTTATTTATTTATTGTGAAAATACTGTACAGAGGGGTTACAATTAGATGGGCAAGATAACGAGTACATTTCTTATCAAGCATTGTAGCCTCCTCCTTTGTTTCCCCTTCCCATCCCTTCCCAGTCTTCCCCCGGCCCCCCCCCCATCCTCCCCGAAATTAGTGTTTATCAAGAGGTATTTTCAGGTCAAAATTGTAGTCATAAGTACAATACAATCAAGGAGAAATGGAACCAAGATAACATGCAAAACTACAAATCACATTTGCTAAGATATTTATATATGTAAACTTTAGTGTTAATACCTTTTTGTGCTACTTAGAAAAAAAATTGACAATAAAATCAAGGCAGTCCAGGGGCTTGGACTGTGGCTTAGTGGTAGAGTGCATGCATTGAAGCCCTGGGTTTGATTCCTCAGTACCAGAAAAAGCCAGAAATGGTGCTGTGGCTCAAGTGGTGGAGTGCTAGCCTTGAACACAGAGAGGCTTAGTGGCCCTGAGTTTGAGCACCAGGACTGGAAAGCAGTCCTGTTATAAAATCTCTAGTTAAGACTACTGATTTATTTTAAATGGTCTCTGTATTTGCTACCCTGTTACTTGTCATTTAACAAATGGCTATTTCTTAGAAAGCCATAATGGAATCTGATGAAGAGTGGTCCATAAACAAGAAGTTGATCGATCTGTCTTCCAAGGACATCAGAAAGTCTGTAAGTATTAATTTATATTATAATATAAGAAATCAGTCAGGATCTTCATTAATTTTGACATCTTAGTTAAGAAATAGGCCATTGGGTGGGACACCTGTGGCCTGCCTGTTCCGCCAAGCCTGCCTGGATGAGCTAGTTTATTATTTTTTAACATTTTTATTATTGTAAAGGTGATGTACAGTAAGGTTATGGCTACATGACTCAGATAAAGAGTACATTTCTTTTTTTAACAGAGTTGTCTCCTTAGTTCGGGGGTTAGAGCACTGGTCTTGTACTAGGTCTTATTGGAACACAGACTATGCCTTTGTTTCAGTATTGCCTGTGGCTGCTTTCACACTGCAAAACAGACTTACGTAGTCCTGAGGAGACAGGTTGATCTGCAAAGCCTGCAACATTATATCATATGACCCCTTTTCAGAAAAGTTTGCCACATTTCCCACCCCCATTCTAGTATCGCTAGAATGTTTCTCCTTCATTTATTCTTTTAGAAAATAGAGGGGCTGGGAAGGTGGCTCAGTGATAGAGCGCTTGCCTTGCATGCTCAAGGCCCTGGGTTCAATTCCTCAGCACCACATAAGCAAAAAGAAAAAAGCCGGAAGTGGCGCTGTGGCTCAAGTGGTAGAGTGCTAGCCTTGAGCTGAAGAGCTGAGGGACAGTGCCCAGGCCCAGAGTTCAGGCCCCACGACCGGACCAAAAAAAAAAACAAACAAAAAAAAAAGAAAATAGACTAACAGGATTCCTCATTATACTTACATCCCAGTCAGAAGATTCAAATATCACTGCATTATTGATGATACATAGTTTTACTTTAAGAGTGAAATACCATCTACAATTTTTTCCTTTGCAGATGAGTTGGGTCAGACAATATATTTTAAAAAATAAAAGAAAAAAACTGTCCAAAAGTGTCTGCTTTACTTCTTTTATGTATTAGATTGTAGAAAACACTATATGATTTAGACACATTTTTTGTGCTCAAGTTTTTTTCACTTCTTAAGCCATAATTTTCTGTGGCATTTAATATTCTTCAGAAAATGTAAACTTTAAGAAAAATAGGTTATTCCCCATTTTCTATATTGTATATACAGTTTTCATACCAATTAACTATCTAGAATTTATTGTTTGGTTTTAAAACTAAGATGAATACCTGATTGAAGTAGCAAGAGGTCTTGTTAACTTAACTAAAATGTGAAATAAAAAGCACAGTTCATGTGAGAATGGCAGTTATCTATTTGACATGAGAGCCTTTCTTTGAAGATCAGTGGGGAGGAAACCAAGTGCCCTCTAGCTCTAGGACCTGTGATTATGTGGGTGGACTTGTGAATGGAACTCATTTGCAAGAATTCCAACGAGGTCATTCTTAGTATAACCAGCTTTCTGTGTCTTCTTAAAACGATAAATGTGGCTGAATATGGAATGAACGAATCTTGAGTTACTTTAGCATTTTTAAGTCTGAAAAAGCCTCATTATCGTTCCTTTTAAAGCTTTATGTGCTTAGTAGTTCCATAAGGTTTTTTAAAAATATTTTTTGCCTGCCTCTTTTCCCTTGGTAGATTTTAAGCTTATAATAGAGATTCACATATTTGTAATTTATTCTTTTTTTTTTTTTAAGTTAAGATTTTCTTTGCCATCATGGTTATTAGTTTCCCCTTGTCTGCCCATTGTGCTTACTCTTACTAGGTCTTTTCATTTCTTGCAGCGTGCTATGAAGCCTATAGCTGTAGATGAGGAAAACAGAGATGGGGTTTCCCTAACTGTTTTGCCTGACCTGGTCTCAAACCATTGTTTCCTAATATCTATCTCCTGTATATCTAAGATCACAGGCATAAGTCACTATGTCTAATCAAGGGCAAAAAACTTTCAGGGATATAACATATACTTAATTTGTAGAGAAAGAAAGAAATTATGGCCTTCCCAGTCAACATGTAGCTTAATTACTGTGTGCACGCGCATGCATGTGTGTGTGTGTGTGTGTGTGTAAAAGAGATGATAATGAGAGTTAATCTTGGAACTGTTTGAAATGACTGTAGAGTATTGCTCTATCTCAACAGTAAATAATTTATGGCTGTTCTTATTTATCTTCGGCAAATATATCAGAGTAAAGTCTTTAGGTATATCATAAACAAAGCTCCATTTTTTTGGCCAAACCCCTCTTCCTAATCTTCATATAAGTAAACATGAGAAAGTATATCCTCATTTTTTTTTTTTTTTTGGTCGGTCGTGGGGCTTGAACTCTGGGCCTGGGCACTGTCCCTCAGCTCTTCAGCTCAAGGCGAGCGCTCTACCACTTGAGCTACAGCGCCACTTCCGGTTTTTCTGGTGGTTTATTGGAGATAGGAGTCTCACGGTCTCTCCTGCCCGGGCTGGCTTTGAACCGCGATCCTCAGATCTCAGCCTCCTGAGTAGCTAGGATTACAGGCGTGAGCCACCAGCGCCCGGCTATATCCTCATTTTTTATTTGTGTAGTCTTAAAAAAGTTTTTCTGTGGTCATATAAAAAATACGTCCTATTTTTCCTATTTTCTCCAAAGATAGGACAATAATAGGTTATGATTATAATTGCTGGATAAGATGAAGAATTGTCTGACTGAAACCCTATCAAAATGAAACCTTTTACTTAGCAAATTAGGTCATTGCTTAGGTATCTCTAGAATTAGAAATTTATTGTATGCATTTATCTTGAGAATGCTCAGTTACTGTCCTATCTGAGAGCAGGATGGGGAGCTTTATAATTTCATTGTTATGCATCTATTCCTTTAGGTACCCAGGGGCTTACCTTACTTCTCTGTGGACTTTGGCCTCCAAGGAGGATTTGCCCATGTCATTGAAGATCAACACAAATTCCCTCATTACTTTGGAAAGGTATGTTCACAAATAGGATTCATTTCCAGGGGTTAACACTTTTAAGGGGGAGAGGGGAACTTGAGGCACAAGGAACAGTGAAATTGTGAATGTTGCTTCATACAATTCTTTGAGAAGCTACAGAGAATATAACTTATACCAGTGACTGAAGCAGGGAACAGTGTTTATGGTCAAACTAGAGAGTAAATGATCTCACTTCTGCATTTGTGGTTAAGCAAGGTACAGTCCAAGAATGTGTGATTCATTTTATAAGATGGTTTCTGGGCACATAGTGTAGGGTCCAGGTCTTTTGATTGCCAATACTTTCTTTCAGAAACATTGTTTTTTGAGTATATTCCTTAAATTGAAGGTCTTCTGGGTATCTGTAAGTTTGTGTCAGGAACTGAAAAGAAATTAATGAAGCAGCTGAAATAAGTGAAAAAAGGTAACAAAATTGACAAGTTGCCTGATAGGATATACAGCTAGGATTTCAAAAACCTTAGGGTTAGCATCTTAAAATTAATTGAAAACAAGATTTTTTTTTTTACTTGAAACTGGTATTTAAGCAACATTTTAAACATGGAGTGCTTCTTAATACTACATTTAATAGGGATAAACAATTTCATTATTGTGTTTACATGTAGATGTTTGATATTTTCTCATTCTTTAAAAGGAAATCATTGGTGGGATGCTGGATCTAGAACCAAGACTTTGGAGGAAGGGGATCCGAGAAAGCTTTGAGGATCAGAGGAAGAAAGCTCTGCAGTTTGCTCAGTGGTGGAAACCATATGACTTCACCAAAAGTAAAACACAATGATGTGAAATGTCTCAGTTTCAGCTGCTTCTTCAGATCCCATTCAATTTTATATCCTCTGCATCTACCTGAACGACTGAGGCTCAGGGCTTAGGAGACAGTAGCAGCAGAGGACTCCTCTGGGATTTCTGACAGCATGCCCTACCGGTGGAATGTGTACCTTCTTCCTCACCTGGTCCTGGGGACTTATTTATAATGACTGTGGAGTAAGGTGGAGACACACTGGATGGTCTGTCTCCATTCCTGTTTTGTACCTACTTTCTGTGTCCTAAATGATTCAGTTAACCTAGAGAAACCCTTTTGGCAAAAGGGAGGGGGCTAAGGAAGCCTAGAAAGAAAGGTTTTAGAGGAAAATGAGTCTACTTTCAGGTAGGTGACTCTACTGCCTGGCTTCTTTTGTACTTTTTACAATAAGACTTGATGTGTTCTATTTTCATACAATTTTATTGAACATCTCTTTTAAGTTCCTGCCAGTACCATATAATATCACCATGCATTCTCTTTGTTAAAGGAAGCAGAATATCTGAAAACTATCAAAGAATTAAAGGGTGATGAAAATACAATGTATTCACACTTCAAATGTATTTCCACTTCTAGACTTTAAAAATTTTAAATGTTGGTGCATTTAAAGTAATTGTTCCATAATTTATAGTTCCTTGGGGTTATGAATTCTTTGTCAGAAATCTTCCATTCTGTAGGCTGTCTGGTGACTATTTGGTGTGCAGAAATTTGTTAGTCTGCTTGAGTCCCATTTGCCAATCTTTATTCTTATTTCCTGAGCAATTGGTTCTATTCTGGAAGTTACTGCTTATGTCAATATGTTCTAGTGTTTTCCTTATTCTTTCCTATAATACTTTCAAAATTTCAGTTCTTACTTTAGGATCTTCATTCACTATACTAGTATAGAGTGAGATAAGGATCTAGTTTCAGTCTGCTGCATGTGGACTTATATTTTTCCCAGCACCATTTGTTGAAAAGCTCTTTTCTTCAATATATGTTGAGGGTTCCTTTGTCAAAAATCAGATGGTTGTAGCTGCGTGGATTTCTTTTTTTTATTTTTATTTTTATTTATTTTATTTTATTTTTGGTCCGGTCATGGGGCCTGAACTCTGGGCCTGGGCGCTATCCCTCAGCTCTTCAGCTCAAGGCTAGTGCTCTACCAATTGAGCCACAGTGCCACTTCTGGCTTTTTTCTTTTTTGCTTATGTGGTGCTGAGGAATCAAACCCAAGGGCCTCATGCATGCAAGGCAAGTGCTCTACTACTGAGTCACCTTCCCAGCCCCAGCTGTATGGATTTCTAGGAATTCTTTTCCTACCAGTATCAGCCTGTTTTTTTTTTGTTTTTTTTTTTTTTAACCATGACTGCAGTACAGTTTGAACACCAGTATTGTAATACCTCCAACAGTTCTTTTTTTCTCCCTCAAGATTACTTTGGCTACTTGGGGTCTTTTAGGGTTGATTTTTCTATTCTTATAGAAAATGACATGGAGATTTTGTTGAGGATAGCATTGAATCTAGATTATTTTTAGTAGTCTAGCCATTATTATGATTCTGATGGAAGGTCTTTCTATCTTCTGATTTCAGTCTTCTTCTATTTCCTTCTTCAAGGTTCTATCACTTTCATTGTAGAGGTCTTTCATTTCCTTGTTTATTCCTAGGTATTTTATTTATTTTATATAGGCTATTGTGAATGGAATTTTTCCCTGATTTCTTTCTAAGCCTATTTATTGTGTACAGAAATACTAGTGATTTTTACATAATGATTTTATATCCTGCTACATTGCTGGAAGTGATTATCAAATATAAGAATTTTAGAATGGAATCTTTTGGATTTGTTAGATATAGAATCATATATTGCAAATCAGGATACTTTGACTTCTTTTCTTCTTGTTTAGATCCCTTTTTTTTTTTCTCTTGCCTTGGGGACCTATTTGGGTCATGTCCTACCTCCTTTTCAGTCAGTTTGACTGAAGGTTTATCAATGTGTTTATCTTTTCAAGAAACGTTTTTGCTCACTGATTGTTTTATGTAATTCTTTTGGTCTCTGTTTCACTGATTTCTTCCCTAATCTTTTTCTTTCTTTATTTCTTTCCTTTTTTAAACATCAGACATTTATGTCTCTCAGATTGCACAATTAAGGACAACAGCAGGGCCTACCTTTACTGTTTTCCAAAGATCTGCTAGGTTGTGTTCTCATTTTTCTTAGATTCTAGGAACTTGTGGACATCCATCATAATTTCTTCAATGGCCCACCCATTATATAACAATGTGTTGTTTCGTCTCCATGTCTTATCTACTTTCAGTAGGCTTTTTTTGCTATTGAGAGGCTTCTGTAAAATAATAAAATGCGTATTTCAGAAGGAGTCAGAAAGCTTTGAATCAAAGCCTGTCGACTAAGTGGACCCAGCTGAGCCTGGTTTTCTTTTCTGAAAGATAACCATAGTAATTGTAATACGAAATGGTAGCAAAAATTAAATAAGGCAAATAAATGAGCCTTGCATTCATTCTACATTCCATAGTAGAGTATTCCCCTACAACAGAATTTAAAATTTGACTATACCTTTCTTCTTTGTCTCTCCCATTATCCAGACAGTAATTTGCAAAGGCTTATATACTGTTGAATATAATCCTGTATATTCAAAATCAATAGAAAAATTGATTGGAATATTTCAAAAATCTCTGTGTGTCTTCTCTTTTTGTTGTTGTTGTTGGTTGTGGGGCTTGAACCTCTGGGCTTAGGTGCTGTCCCTGCGCTCTTCAGCTCAAGGTGAGCACTCTGTCACTTGAGCCACAGCATGACTTCTGCTTTTTTGGTGGTTTGGAGATAAGAGTCTCATGGTCTTTTCCTGCCTGAGTTGGCTTTGAACCGTGATCCTCAGATCTCAGCCTACTGAGTAGCTAGGATTACAGGCGTGAGCCACCAGCGTGTGGTCTCTTCTCTTTTTTAAGTAGCTTAACTTTAAGCTTAGCCAAATTTATTCATTGTTTCCTATATGGAAGGACTTTATGAATGTGAAATATGGGCTGGAAGTGTGGCTCAATGATATTGGCTAGCCTAGCCAGCACTAGGCCTTGAGTTCAACTCTAGTACCACCAAAACAAATAAAAAAAGTCTTGTGAAATAAAAAGTATAGTTATTATCATGAAGAACATTTCATGATGAAACCAACAAATACATAAAGATACAAAGTTCAGTAGAAATTTTGGAGTTCCAAAGATGCTTACACATAGAACAACTAGAGAAGGTTTCCTTGAAGTGGTTGGTATTTAAGATGAAAAGATTTATTATATAAGTAAAACATTACAGGAAGAAAGCATGAGTTGAATATTTTGATGTGTTTACAGTTTGTTTTAACCAAAGGTACTACATGTCAAACTCAAAAACACACAAAAGAGTTTCCAATGAAGGAGTCTTTTTGGAGTGGGAGATAAAAAATAGAGTTATAAGCTGAGTACTGGTGGCTCACCTCTGAAATCCTAACTACTCAGAAGGCTAAGATCTGAAGATCATGGTTTGAAGCCAGCTCAGGTAGGAAAGTCCATGAGACTCATCTCCAATTAAACAAAAAAAATCCAGAAGTAGAGCTGTGGCTCAAGTAGTAGAGCACTAGCCATAAGCACAAAAGCTCAAGGATAATGTCCAGACTGAGTTCAAACCCCAGGGCTGGCCAAAAAACAAAAAAGAGATTGGAATCCTGGGTGCACCAGCATAGGCTGGCATGTCCAGAGAACAAAGGAAAGATGGGAGAGAGATCTACCTAAGTTGAGAAAGCTGGGGAGCGCTGTTTGGTTAGAGGCAGCAGTTAATGTGGGAGCTGGTCCTAAGGTCGTGGCTGACAGATCCGTCAACAGTTGCTAAGAAAAATGAGTTCTCAGGAGAAAGTGGGCTGTTGTAGTGGGTTAGTCAGCAGCATAGTTCATGGAATAATTGTTGGTCCTCTGTGTTTTCTCCCTGTGGTGTTGCAGCTCTATTTTAGGTGGATATGACAAGAATGTCCTTATTTGTATGCCCAATTTCCACATAGACAAAGACAGTAAAAAAAAAAAAAATAAAGGCCTCTTTTCTGTTCTACAAAGAACTCTAAAAATAACAAGTGGATCACAGTCCATTAGGTACTTAGGGCACAGTAAGTTTTAATGTGTTTCACAATGAAATCTGAACTGAGTAGAAGACATTTTTATCGTAAGTGGAGAGAGAGATAGCAAAGCCTTCTTTTCCAACTGTTCCTACTGTCTGACATGATTGATATAATCTTTTCTCTGTGCAGACAACCAGGACTCCGTTTGCTACTTGAGAACTGTTGTTGATAATAATTATGCACATGCCTTTGCATTCTTACTGCCTTGTCTTCTGCCACAATGAGATTCACTTATTTTTAAAATTTTCCTTTGTGAAATCTCTGTGTACCATTATCTAGCAGTTTGTTTTATTTACTCTTAAAAACTCCCTTTGACATTGGATGTTAATAGGCTTTTTTGCCTTATACGACACTTAACAATGTTGATTTTAATGTCATGACTTCCAGAATATCAGGGGCCAAACAAGAATTACGTATCATAGGCTCAGCTTGAAGAATTTGGTGGCTCTCCTGGTCTATCTACAAAATAAAATAGAAACAAAGAATACAGCAGTGGCCTATACTGTATATATTCTTGTAATCTCCATTATAGAAATTAACCTGTAATGGTATATGTAAAATTCAGGGAGGTCATTGTGCAGGTTATATAATCCTTGTTATAATGAAATAAGGGCTGGAGTAAGTGTTGCAGATTTGATCCAACATTGGGCAGGTCTATCAGTGTAAAGACAAAGGAACAATGCTGCAGAAGTACCAAGGAGAAGTAGCACTGTGGCTCTAGTCTTGAGCACAAAGTGGCTTAGGGACAGCGCCCAGGCCCTGAGTTCAAGCCCTACAACTGCCAAAAAGAAAAAAAAATTACCAAGGAAGACTCTTTCAGAGACACATTTGATGCATCTCTTTTGATACATGCAGAAAGTACCATGGCCCATTAAAAATTAATGTAGACTGTCTTTAAACTCTGGAGCCCTCTGCCTCTGCCCTGCCAAACACTGGGCTTATAATGCTGTGTGATAAGCATGCATCATGATGCTCAGCAGAAGACAGGCTCATGCTGTTCTTAAAGACTAGCAGTTACATGGAATGGGTCTTTTTGTATTCTTCCTTTTCATCATTAAATTGTCATTAAAATGGGTACAAGAAAGAACTGATGAACTATTGACTGTAGTAATCCACGTGTAGAGTTAGCTTTTGGATAGAAAAAGTTGTTTTCTTGCCTTGCATTAAACAGTCCCAGAAGTTCTTGTTCTCTTAAATCTTGATAAAAATTAATAAAACTCTGGAACCTTTCAGCAGTAACTCCCAAACATCACAATCTCTGCTTATAAAAATGATCATTTTTTCCCCCTTTGATTTATTAGTATCTCTGTGCTCCAGAATCATCATCTAGGGGGTTTATCTCTGTGAAATATGCAGGAACAGAATTTATTACAGAGTGCTTTTCATCAATCCTTTCAGATTGATGGTTTCCATTAAGATATATTTTG